CCGTTGCCCTTGGTGGAGTGCCCTGGCATTGTAGCTCACAGCAACCTCTAGCTCTTGTGCTTAGGCGGTTCTCTTGCCTCAGCCTCCCAAGTACCTGGGACTATAGACACAATACCTGGCTATTTTTTGTTATAGTTGGCTGGGGCTGGTTTCGAGCCCACCACCCTTGGTATATGGGGCCAGCACCCTACTCACTGAGGCACAGGCACTGCTCCTCTCTATTGCTTCTTGCTAACAAAACATGTCTTCAGAGGAAAGCATGTTCAGTGGATTCCATAAAATCCACAGAGTCCCGAGGATAGAGGTTTGGGCCAGATGTGGTGGCTCACGCCTGTAATCCCAACACTTAGGAGGCTGAGGCAGGTGGATTGCCTGAGCTCATAGGTTCAGGACTAGCCTGAGTCAGAGTGAGACACATCTCTTAAAAAAAAAAAAAAAATAGCCAGGTGTTGTGGCAGGTGCCTGTGGTCCTAGGTACTTGGGAGGCTGAAGCAAGAGAATCACTTGAGCCCAAGAGTTTGAGATTGTTGTAAGCTATGATGCCACGGCACTCTACCAAGGGTGACAACATGAGACTCTGTCTCAAAAACAAAAAAATATAGAGGTTTATTTTTCACTCATGTCTCTAATTTTGTTTTTCTTTATTTTTTGGGATTCTTTGAGAGTACACAGAATTTGGTTATACTGATTGCATTTGTTAGGTAAATTCCCTCTTATAATTGTGTCTGTTCCCAAGAGGTGTGCCCTGAGGATTTCTATAGAATAAATTTAAACAGACTTGAGCTTATAATCAGAATATCCTTATAGACACAAGCCATTATGGGGAAGAGTTAGCATAATTAGTTGCCTTACGGCCTCCAGATACTGAATAATCAGACACAGTATATATATTCATTATGTAGGAAATGTTTAAAGAAATGCAAACTATGGCTTGGCGCCTGTGGCCAAGCGGCTAGGGCGCCAGCCACATACACCTAAGGTGGCGGGTTCGAATGCCCAGCCCGGGCCCGCCAAACAACAATGATGGCTGCAACCAAAAAATGGCCAGGCG